GATCCATTTGTTTGGATGGACGCATAAATGGAAAGATAGATTAATAGATTGAAAGTCGGGATTATCTCATATTCACGTTATATATCAGGTATTGATATAAGTTCTGCTCAGATGCGGAAACCCATAGCCTAATCACTGATGATACCAAACCATACCCTTTTCGACAGCAAAGTCTATTCGAATGCAGCTGCTCTTGTCAGACCAACGGTGACTTGGAGGGTATCGTCGAAGGACCTGCTGAAGGTGGCAAATGGACGGTGACTTGGCGTTTGGCATGTTAACCATTGAAATCATTGAAGAAATTTGAACCTCGGAGGGCTGCAAAGTCTGGACAGCCTGGAGTCCTTTTGCCACCAAAATGCCCTTTTGGAACCACAAAACTGTCCTCTCCAAAGACATCAAACGTTGATGCTCGGTCATGGGGTCATGGCACCAAGGTGAAAAGTCGAGATGGGTTTCTTGGCCAAATCACCATGTTGTGTCTCAGGAACAGCAGGATTGAGTTGAGCTTCTGCAGTTCTTCTGGAAAACAACAGGTTTGGGGAATCTTGGGATCCCTTCGTAAAAAGGGAAACCATCTTCTCATGATGGCCTTGAATTGCATGATTGGAGCACTGCAATTTACATTACATGCAATGCAGTAATGGATAGAGGTTTGATCCTGTTCCATTGATCGCGATACAGTAGTAGTGTTTTGAGGTCCTTCGAGGCGAGTGAAAGCCAGCTTCAAATCAAAAATGCGAGCTTTTTGACCCTTGGCAGAGTTGACGCGGGTTTTCTGAAGCAGTTGAACTGTGTCCAAGCAATGCAGCAAAGCCCAAGCACATGAGAGCTGCCTTTCAGTCATGTTGCACCAAACAGCCCGTGGTTTGATCTTGAGATATCCCGAATGTCAAGGTGGATTTGCCATCGATCGGCTTCTTGGCTTGACGCAGGATCAAACTGAAAAACCTCATTTCAGTACCAACGAACCAGACGACCCTTTTCCACTTGATACTGTGGCCGAATGCCCAAGTTAGCCTTGTCCTGTGCTGTCCTGAGTCTTGTATCACAGTTGTCTTCTTTCCGTTTGATCCAACACCCGGAGCAGTTTCCTTCAGACAATATGATGCTCTAACTGCATCTTTGCACATAGTCATGCCCTAGCTGAGCTCAGGACTACGACGAGGCATTTTTTCAGAGGCTAGCAAACTGTTTTCAAACTACGTGAAGCTTGTGCAGTGTAATTATTAAAGAATTTAAAGAGGCCAATCCTTTCCAGATCTTTCCAGCCAATTGTTGCGGCTTCGGATGTTTCGGGCCCTTGTCACCATACACCCGGTATCACCGTGGGCAGGACTGAAGAGGTCTCCCGCCGCGATCTGGAGCACCTTGGATGCAATCCATGTCCTATTGCTTTATACTGTCTATTTTAATCATCAGATATCATCAGTTTTATATAGTTTTATACTTCTCTTGGTGGTATTTTTCTGTTCTTCCCGTTTCAGATGAAAGTGCACCATAGCGCACCTGGACACTCAGGCACGTTTCCCATCAGTTGGATGAAACCAAGCAGAAACTCGAAGACCTGGAGAGAAACTTTGCCTCGAACATGGGGGAGATATCCCGGATAGTAAGCAACAAAAATGAGCAAAACTTGTTGTTTAACCATGTTTAACCAACAAACATGAGCAAACATGGAAGTTTGATCAACATGTTTTATCAAAGGATACCCATATAGATGTTTTTTTTCAACCGGTTGGTTGATTGACAAACGGCTACAGTGCGATTGAACAACAGGGAAATCACGAGAAGTGGTCCAAACTGACCTCCTGGAGGTGATTGCTTTGAAGAGGACAAAATGGACAATATGGATATCTTGGATCGACACGAGTTCAATAGTAAAAAGGACAGTACGTGACAAGAGTTGATAAGTGTTGGTTACATCCAGTTGCAAGCTTTGGGAGTAACATCTGTCGGAACCGGATAGGTCCTGACAGTTGCTCCAGCCATGTCACTAGACACCTAAGGAAACTTGAGCGTCAAGCTGGACGTGCTCATGAGGTGCCTTGGAAGCAGAGAGACACATCGGACTCGTCCCGAGCCGATCCGAGCCGAGGCTCATGGGTGACGGCTCCCAAAACTCGGACCCATGAGAGCCGAGCAGCTTGTGATGGTCGAGCCACGGAATCGATTCTGGGCCGGGATTGTTGGCCAAACACAAGGAAAGTCCTTGTGTTCATGGTACAAGTGGCACTTTATCTGTGATTCGGCAGAAAGTTTGAACGAAGTACGCAGATATGCATCATACTGCGGTATGAGCAATGCAAACTGGATACAATTTCATTCAATATTGACATTATAGTACTTTAATGTACTTTTATCATTAACAAACAACAGGAACATTTTTTTGTTGTCCTGCTTGATATGCCTCAAAGTGATAGTCACACATTACAGATCATTGCAGTGATCATGTCATCCAAGTCAACCCCTTTCAAGATGTGTGGATCCTGTTTTTCTCTCAAACAGATACAGTATGCAGAGAGTTCGTATGACAGGAGTTGTGCAAAGTTACTGCAATTATCTGTTGGCCAAACATTGCAATCGTGGATACGTAATGGTACATACGTGTTGGACTTGGCTACTCGAGGTGTCATCTCACTGATTGCCGTGATGAGACTGCAAACCAAAGTTGAAGCTGTGTGAACATGTGTGAACATTTGTTAACCAATATTCATGATCTTTGTACAGCCTTGTGCTACTTTGACTAGTTGGGATTCAACAAGACTATGGATTTGATTGTTAGACAATCCCCCGGTGCCCAGCAACCCGCGGCTGGCCAGTCTGCACACGTGCGTTAGCCAGACCGACGCGTTTTTTTCGTGAGTAAGTGGAGCTCGTTGGTTTTGACCTCAGACACACTCGGTGTCGTCTGTGAATCCCACGAGCTTCAGAAATATCATTTCTCTTCAGATAGTTTGTTGCCTTTTGAAGCTTCAAGACAGGCTGCTTTTATGGCATGACCTGAAAATTGGAGTAGAGGCCAAATTGTAGAAGTGAATCTAGTCCAGGGATGCATTTCAAACGCTCGACTTTGTACCCAAGATCAGAATCGTCGACGGCAATTGTATGGGGTTTCTGCTGGTTATCAATCACCTATCAACATGAAAATGCCGCCTGTTATTAATTTCTTTATAAACTTATAAATAATAAATTATTTAAGGGCTAACGCCCCCTGCCGCCGACCCCTGGAAAAGAACGCGAAGAAGCGGAGGACATCGTGACCGAGGACCGGATAGGGATCATTAGTCTCCTGCACAGGGAGCAGAGCCCTGAATAGGGGCCATATATATATATATACATACTCCTGAACAGGGAGGGCCTCGCAGAGAGGCATTTATGGGGAGATCTGGGGAGTAGTGTGGCATATAGTGTATGTGTCTCTGTGTGTGTGTGTGGGTGTGTATGTGGGCGTGTGTGTGTGTGTGGGTGTGTGTGTGGGTGTGTATGTGGGCGTATGTGCGTGTGTGTCGGGAATGCAAAACCAGCCAATGGCAGGTGGCCAAGCCGCGTGAACCTGGCCCGTCCTAACGACGCGTTCGGAAACCCTTTGAAAAGTAGCTCTAGAAGCTGCCGGCTGCCACCTTTGCCGGGCGCATGCGAAACAGCGCAACAGCAGGGCCTGCTGGTCCCAACCGCGTGTCCCAAGGCCAGGCGCCACTGCCTAACGTTGCTTTCTGAAGCCCTTAGAAAAGTATAGCTCTGGAAGCTGCCGGCTGCCACCTTTGCCGAGCGCATGCGAAACAGCGCAACAGCAGGGCCTGCTGGTCCCAACCGCGTGTCCCAAGGCAAGGCGCCACTGCCTAACGTTGCTTTCTGAAAAACCCCACTTAGAAAGTATAGCTCTGAGAGCGCCGGTGCCACCTTTGCCGGCGCCGCATGCTGAAAAGTCGAAACAGCCGGGCATGCTGGTCCCGCTCTGGAAGCTGCCGGCTGCCACCTTTGCCGGGCGCATGCGAAACAGCGAAACAGCAGGGCCTGCTGGTCCCAACCGCGTGTCCCAAGGCCAGGCGCCAGTGCCTAACGTTGCTTTCTGAAGCCCTTAGAAAAGTATAGCTCTGAGAGCTGCCGGCTGCCACCTTTGCCGGGCACATGCGAAACAGCGCAACAGCAGGGCCTGCTGGTCCCAACCGCGTGTCCCAAGGCCAGGCGCCAGTGCCTAACGTTGCTTTCTGAAGCCCTTAGAAAAGTGTAGCTCTGAGAGCTGCCGGCTGCCACCTTTGCCGGGCGCATGCGAAACAGCGGCAAAACAGCAGGGCCTGCTGTCCCAACCACGTTGTCCCAAGGCCAGGCGCCAGGGCCTAACGTGCTCTTTCTGAGCCCTTAGAAAAAGTATAATCTGAGAGGCCTGCCGGCTGCCACCTTTGCCGGGCGCATGCGAAACAGCGAAACAGCAGGGCCTGCTGGTCCCAACCGCGTGTCCCAAGGCCAGGCGCCAGTGCCTACGTTGCTTTCTGAAGCCCTTAGAAAAGTAGCTCTGGAAGCTGCCGACTGCCACCTTTGCCGGGCGCATGCGAAACAGCGAAACAGCAGGGCCCTGAGGGACGGACCGGGCCTCCGGGCAACGGGCCCCACTGCCTAACGTCACTTTCTGACCCTACAAGAAAATCTAGCTGTCTTCCAGCCGCCGCAGCTCACAAACGGCGCATCCGTTGCTTTCTGAAGCCTAGCAAAGTAGCTCTGGAAGCTGCCGACTGCCACCTTTGCCGGGCGGCATGCGAAAACAGCGGAAACAGCAGGGCCTGCTGGTCCCAACCGCGTGTCCCAAGGCCAGGTGCCACTGCCTAACGTTGCTTTCTGAAGCCCTTAGAAAGCTAGCTCTGGAAGCTCCCGGCTGCCACCTTTGCCGGGCGCATGCGAAACAGCGAAACAGCAGGGCCCTGAGGGACGGACCGGGCCTCCGGGCAACCCTACAAGAAAATCTAGCTGTCTTCCAGCCGCCGCAGCTCACAAACGGCGCATCCGTTGCTTTCTGAAGCCCTTAGAAAAGTAGCTCTGGAAGCTGCCGACTGCCACCTTTGCCGGACGCATGCGAAACAGCGAAGCAGCAGGGCCCTGAGGGACGGACCGGGCCTCCGGGCAACGGCCTCCACTGCCTAACGTCACTTTCTGACCCTACAAGAAAATCTAGCTGTCTTCCAGCCGCCGCAGCTCACAAACGGCGCATCCGTTGCTTTCTGAAGCCCTTAGAAAAGTAGCTCTGGAAGCTGCCGACTGCCACCTTTGCCGGGCGCATGCGAAACAGCGAAACAGCGAAACAGCAGGGCCCTGAGGGACGGACCGGGCCTCCGGGCAACGGCCTCCACTGCCTAACGTCACTTTCTGACCCTACAAGAAAATCTAGCTGTCTTCCAGCCGCCGCGGCTCACAAACGGCGCATCGGTTGCTTTCTGAAGCCCTTAGAAAAGTAGCTCTGGAAGCTGCCGACTGCCACCTTTGCCGGGCGCATGCGAAACAGCGAAACAGCAGGGCCCTGAGGGACGGACCGGGCCTCCGGGCAACGGCCCCCACTGCCTAACGTCACTTTCTGACCCTACAAGAAAATCTAGCTGTCTTCCAGCCGCCGCAGCTCACAAACGGTGCATCCGTTGCTTTCTGAAGCCCT